CAACTTGTAGCCTCCTGTCGAATGATATCCAACTAGGATCATTTGACTTGACTTGTCATCAAGTTTCTTTCTCAACTGATCTGGCACATGTCTATGTGCAATAGATCCAAATACTTTCAGATGACTCAAGCTAGGCTTCACACCAGACCAACATTCTTCTAGAGTAATTCCTTCTAGCTTCTTTGTAGGACTTCTGTTCAAAATGTATGTTGCAGTCGAAACAGCTTCACCCTAAAACTCTTTGGGTAAATTCTTGCCTTTCAACATACTTCTCACCCTGTTCATGATGGTTCGATTTTTCCTTTCTGCAATTCCATTTTGCTGTGGAGTATAGGGTGGCACCACCTCATGCACAATCCCTTCCTTTTCACATAATCTGTCGAAATCTTTCGACACATATTCTCCTCCACCATCAATTCTCAAAACTTTGAGCTTTCGACCACTTTGTCTTTCGACCATGGACTTGAACTTGGTAAATACTTCGATCACTTCACTTTTCTGCTTGATCAGGTAAGTCCATAGCTTTCGACTGAAATCATCTATGAATGTAACAAAGTATTTGTTACCTCCCATCGAATCCACCTGAATTGGTCCACATACATCAGAGTATATGACTTCGAGATTAGCCTTCGATCTGCTTCCTGCATCCTTGCTGAAGTTGTTCTTGTGTTGCTTCGCCTGCACACATTATTCACATACTTCATTTGGAATGTCAATTTCAGGCAATCCTGAAACCATATTTCTTCTCTTCAAATCTCTGATGTCTCTGAAGTTGAGATGACCAAGTCTATAATGCCATATCCATTCATCTCTGCTAGCTGCAGTCGAAAGGCACTTGTGCTCCATCACATTTAGTTCAATCTTGAAGGTTCGATTTTGAGACATAGGAGCCTTCAAGATTACCCTCCCATTTGCATCAACAACTCTCATCAACTTATCTTCGATTGACACTTTATAATTCTTTTCGACCAACTGCCCTATACTGATCAAATTGCTCTTCATGCCTGGTATGTACAATACATTCAAAATTACTGACTTCTTGCCATCTTTCCTCATGATCATAACATCACCAATACCTTCAGCTGCTAGGGTGTTGTTATTTGCAAATTTTACCAAATTTTTCGTTGAGGGTTTTATATTGACGAACCAGTCTTTCCTTCCAGACATATGTGATGAACATCCTGAATCCAAGTACCATTGGTCCTTGAATCTATCTTCATCTCTTGTTGTGACCATTAACATCATCTCTTCTTCTTCTTCATGTTTTGCAAGCTTTGCATCACTTTCTTGATTCTTTCGTTTTTCTGGACAATCACTTGAATAGTGACCATACTTCTGACAATTGTAACATTGAATGTGACTCTTATCAGGTTTTCGACCACCACCTCTTCCTCTGTTTGCAGCACCACCTCTTTGGTTGCCTTGGTGTGGTCTTCTTTGATTCGACACGTCTCCTTCGATTTGGTTTCTTCTACCATTCGATTTGTTGTAGCCACCTCTACTTCTGTCGAAATACTTTCCTTTGCCTTTGGTCTCTTTTGCTGAATGTGCCTGCAAGGCCACATCACTCTTCGATTTTCCTACAGCTCTTTCGTTCATTCTTTGTTCATGAGATTTGAGCGTCCTTTGAAGCTCTTCCTTTGTCAATTTCGACAAGTCTTTCCCCTCTTCTATCGCCACCACTATATGGTCGAACTTAGGAGCTAAGGATCTCAGGATCTTCAAAATAACAGCTCTTGTTGTTAATGTTTCTCCACATGTCTTGATTTGATTCACTAGTTTTGTAACTCTAGTGAAGAAATCAGATATGTTTTCACTGTCTTCCATCTAAAACAGTTCATAGGTCCTTTTGTGAGTTTGTAACCTCACTTCTTTCACCTTCTCAGCGCCTCCAAAAGATTTCTCCAGGATCTCCCAAGCTTCTTTTGCAGATTCTGAATCACTAATCTTTTCGAAATTGTTTGGGCTGACACATTGATGAATTATAAACAATGCTTTATAACTCTGTTTCTCAAATTCTATATATTTCTTCTTTTCTTCTTCTGAAGCGTTTTCGTCAAGCGCTTCGACTCCATCTTTTACAAGGTCCCAAAGGCCTTGACACCTTAATAGGACTTTCATCTGCTTGCACCAATTCTCATAGTTGTCTACTTTCAGAATTGGCAGTGTTGCTGGATAGTTTGCATTCCCATAACTTGTCATCGTGAATTCTTCAATCGTTCTTGATTGATGCTTCCCTTGAATCGAAACACAAGCTCTGATACCAGATGTTGGAAATCCACCAATACTCTATGATGAATTTCGACCACCACTGATGATTAGTTATGAAACAAACTAAGAAAAGACAATAGAATTATTTCTGCAGAGTTTCTCTCTGCCCACAAACTGTGGAAAATTTTATTATTCACTTTGCAACTGCAAAATACTGTGAATGAGTTGATTATAAAATAGGAGTTACTCCCTCTATTTATAAAATTAGGTTAGCTTGCTCCCTAAGCTAAACCCAAGCCCAAAATATCTCTTTACTAAATCAAATCTAATCAAATCTATTCTAGATTTAAATTCAAATCTATTTAAATCTAAACAAATCAAATCTTCTTTTGACACATATGAATTACAATTTAACATATTCTTCACACATTCCTATTTTATAGTTACTTCCACTAGCATCATTATTGACCATCATTATTTTAATATTAGATATAATAATAACTCTTTTTTTGTATTAATTATATAACTTATTTATAAAATTTAAAAAATATATGAAATATAGAATTATAGACAATTAATTTTAATATTATTAATTTGTCAAAATAATTATTTATAAAATAAATAACTAAATTAAAGAGAGAAACAACTAACTAAAATAGACTAATAGTAACACTTAACTAAACTATACATATAAAATAGTAATAAATTTTACTAAAAAGATAAATGTATTGCATATAAAATATCAGGATCTTACATTATCTCTAAAGGAGCTTTAAGAGTGGGATCATTTAAGCATTAATGAAAATTGAATAGATCCATTGACGAAATGATTAGTTAGATAGAAATTTCATAATACATATGATAATATGTGAATAATTCATATTGATAAGTGAGTTGCTCATGATGGTAATTTGACCTAAAAGACTGGAGATCCCAAGATTTAAGTTCAATAAGTAATAATAAGTTTTGAGTAATGTGAAATGACCATGCTAGTATAAATAAGAGAAGCACGAATTTTGAAGCGATAATAGAATAAGATGATAGAAACTCTTGATGAAATCTATGCTTTGTAAGAGTAGAGCATATAACTACAAGAGCACTCTTTATAGACTCGTCTATGTGATTGTGTCAAAAAAGATCATTTCCTATGAAATCTTATGGTAGAATTTTTAGAGCTTTCATGAAACTGAGACAAACGTGTAGAGCCATTAAAGCACGAGCTTATAGAATACATCAAAGAAATGGTTAAGCGAGGGTTTGATGTCTGAGATAAAGTTCACGACTACGAATTGCTATTGTTGAATTAGAATCCTAATGACTATGCAAAGGTTTAAGTCATAGACATTTTTGTTTATGCTTAATCTTAAAAACATTTAATGTTACTTCTAAAATATTTTTTTAAATTCAAGTAGGAGATTGTTGGAATATTTAATTCCAATCATTAATATTGAAACAACATACTTATCAAATTACATGTCAAAATTTCAATATAGGGATGAATTTGAAAAAATTCATTAAGTCTTACATCAATAAAAAAATATGTGTTAATTGAAAAAACTTTATATTTGATATTTCTTAGCTTACACACTATAGTTAGTTTCAAACATTATAAAAGCAAATTAAAATTCCAAGTCTCACATTGTTTAGATTACATTAAAGTGAAGAAGTTGTTACTTTAACAATTTAAAGTAGTATTTGAAAGTTTTTTAGAATAAAACATGTGCATTCTTTATATTATTGAATTGAAGTATATGCATTTTTTATATAATAAAATAAAGTCCATAATACATATGAAAATATGGGAATAATTCCTATTGATAAGTGAATTTTTTGTGATGATAATCTAACCTAAAAGACCGGAGATCTCAATAATTAAGTTCAATAAGTAATAACATGTTTTGAGTAATGTGAAATGATCATGCTTGTATAAATAAGAGAGCATAAATCTGGAAGCGATAATAGGATAAGATGATAGAAACTCTTGATGATGTTTATACTTTATATGAGTAGAGAACATAATTACAAGAGTACTCTTGATAGACTCATCTATGTAATTGTGTCAAAAAAGGCTATTTCCTACGAAATCTTATGGCAGAATTCCTAGAGCTTTCATGAAATTGAGACAGACGTGTAGAGCCATTAAAGCACGAGCTTACAGAATACACCCAAAGAAATGGTTGAGCGAGGGTTTGATGTCTGAGATAAAGTTCACGATTACGAATCACTATTGCTGAATTAGAATCCTACTAACTATACAAAAATTCAAGTCATAAACACTTTTGTTTATGTATAATCTTATAAACGTTTGACGTTACTTCTGAAACATTTTTTTTTAAATTCACGTGAAGGATTGTGGAACATTTAATGACAATCATTAATGTTGGAACAACTTGCCAAACTACATGTCAAAATTTCAATCTAGGGATGAATTTGAAAAAAATTCATTAAGTCTTACATTGTTAAAAAAATAAGTGTGTTTTGTGTGTTAATTGAAAAAACTCTATATCTCATATTACTTAGCTTACACACTATAGTTAGTTTCAAACACTATAAAAGTAATATAAAATTTGAAGTCTCATATTATTTAGATTACATTAAAATGAAGTAGATGTTACTTTAACAATTTAAAATAACATTTAGAACTATTTTGAAATAAAACATTTGTATTTCTTATATTATTGAATCGAAGCACATGCATTTCTTATATAATAAAATAAATTAACTAAAGTATGTAATTTAAGCAATGTGGAATTTTAAATTTTTCTTTATTATATAATATTGAAAATCAACTATAATGTGCAAGCTAAGCATTCTTGAACGGATATGGATTCTTGTTGTTCAGCAGGAGTCCAACTTTGATTCTGTGTGTGTAATAAGAGAGAAATCAGAAAATTAAAATTAAATAAAGAGATGAGAGAAATAAAAATGATGAGAGAGATAAGGAACATGAGATACGGCTTGAGAGCTTATTGCATCAGAGGATCCATATCCATGTGGGACATAGAGTTTTTCCCACGCATAATTTTCTAACAATGTGACACTTAAAAAAATTTCTTTCATAGAAATTTGACTTTTTCTTTAACAAATTATTAATGATTGTCATTAAATGTTCCAACAAGTTTATTAACCTTTAGTCTAGTCAGTTAGCAGCAATAAGAAGTTATAATTAGATAGGGTCATCATGATTGAGTTAGCTAATCCTTGATGGAGTTAGTTAGCTAGTTTTACTGATTACTTGTTATGCAAGTTTCCTCCCGGTATCTCTTTGGACATTTAGAAAATTCAATTAAGATGTTTCTCTTTCTCATTTCTCTATCAGTTGATAACTTGATATCATAGAATGCATGGCAACACAGAGATCATCAAATATACATATCACTATAAGTTTCTTAGCATTCAGTAACAACATCCATAATTAATCACTAATCATGATATTATTTTTAACATAAACAAAATTAATCTATACTACAGAGTAAACTGCCAATGGTATCCTCACTTCATGCAACCCATCTTCCCAAAACAGGTACCCAAATGAGAATCTGCTTTGAACACCTAGCTTCGAAGAAAAACTCACCTTGAATTTCATCTTCTTTCTTTTCTCGTTAAATCTCAACACTGTTGGCTCAACTGTCACTGATATGCCAGTTGGAGCCGCAACACGAACAATGTAGGTAGACTTAATAGGACCAACATTAGTCACGGTTCTTGTTACTGTCAAAGGTTGCTTCAGTTCAGGAATAGTAATAGAAGGAAGGTTCATATTCAACAAGAACTTTCTTGATTTAATGCACTTGGTAGGAGAATCTGTTAATAAGGTTATAGCAGTGTTATTGTAGCCCATGGAACAAAGGAAATTCATGTAATCTGTTTTTTCTAAGTCGTATACGAGACCAGGATCTGCGAGTTTGTTAGGGTTAACATGTCCACCACCATAGTCAAATGGATCGGCTTGTTTGTACGGTGCTCCCTCGGCTCCAATGTATTGACTGTACTCATTTTTTAGAGAAGCTTCATAGAAAGAGAGGAAACTGTTATGTCGCGACCAGATCACAGTCATAGACCTTTATTTAAAACTGTGACAAAAAGTCTGAAAATCCTTTTACCTGTTGTGACAAGGGCGGATTTAACTGCGGCGGGGCTCCAAGTTGGATGGATAGTCTTTACAAGTGCGACGATACCGGATATGTGGGGGCATGACATTGAAGTTCCTGATTCAATTTTGAAGTTAAGAGATGATAACTCATCTTGACTTGTATCAGATTCTAGGCTGGAAGAAGAAGCAGGTGACCAGGCAGCCAGAATATTAACCCCGGGAGCAGCAATGTCGGGCTGCAATAGTTCGATGAACCATAAGTCGTTATATTTTTGTCAGAAAAAGATATTTCCATGTTGGAGGAATGTGATTAGAACCTTTAAAACTGAAGGAGAAAGAGAACTTGGTCCACGCGATGAGAAGAATGCGACATCAGGAGACATCTGTTGCCCCACAATGGTTCTGGTTTTGCTAAACTTGATTACAGGATTCCTACAACAAGCAAGAATATATCATAAAAATAAAACTGCATTGCCTAAAAGTTGGTTTTCAAAAGTACTAACCTAGCAGCTTCCATGTATGATAGAATTTTTGTTCCTGCTATGAAATCAACTTGGACAGATGGTATATCCCAAGACATATCAACATCTTTAGTTGGAAACTGAGCATATATGAGACCAACAGCCTCAGCTTCCATTACAGTTCTCACAGCAGTCGTTGCCGAGCGCTGCGACCGAGACTGAAAACACAGAATTGCTTTTCCCTTGGCCAAGGTGGAGTTTAGACTTCCTGATTCACAGCTTCTGAGTACAGAAAACAATGAGTGTGGACTTTCACAACTATGGTTCTCAATGAAAAAATACGGCAACAGGAACCACGTATTTTACCTTGCACTTTCTTCACCTGCATCTGAAGCTGCTATATCTTCTCCATACACTATAGGATAAAACTTGTTTAATTCTTTTCCTGTATATAAACTCTGACCCTATATGAGGAAATAAAATATATTTCTGTCTCTGCATTGTAAATGGTTAATCTATAGCGAGGACATAAACTACTAACACATGCTTTTGGTGTCTCATCTCATCTGATGTGTTCGTATCCAAACCGATTCAGAAAACCAAAAAACACGGATGAAGTACCTGTATAGTTTGATTATTTCCCAAGCTAATTGTAGATGGAAATTCTCTATCGATGGTACTTGCAGCAACGGTAATAACCCAAGGAGCAGTATTGATGACAGTTTGAGCATATGGTCCAGAGTTACCACCAGAACATACAACAGAAATCCCTTTAGCAACAGCATGGAAGGAACCAATGGCCAACACATCCTCAACATAAGTAGGAAGTGGAGGATATGAGCCGAGAGACGCTGAAATAATGTCCACTCTGTCGAATATAGCATCATCAAACGCTGCTAGAAGGTCAGCAGAGCTGCAGCCTCCAGTTGACCAACAAATTTTGTAGATAGATAACCAAGCTGATGGAGCCCCGCCTCTTGCTGATCCTTTAGCCAGTCCTTTAAAGTTCGCATTTTCTACTAGTATGCCGGCTGCAGTCGATGATGTGTGAGTTCCATGGCCTGATGCATCTCGCGGAGATAAGTACTCTACCCCTTCACTCGTATTTAGGTTTCCGAATTCTGCTTCGTATCCTTTAATATACCAACGCGCGCCGATAATTTTCCTGCCATTATATGAAAGGATAAAGGTTTAAGAGCTGCATCTACTATAGCAGGACTTGAAATATATTTGTAATCCACTGCCAACCTATTACAGTTGGAGCGGTCGAAGTTTTCTCCTTCTTGACATATTCCACGCCACCGAGGAGGAGGATTACCCATATGATCATCTCTAAAGCTATGAGACTCAGGCCAAATACCTAATAGAGCAAAGAATTATATGACCACAATCACACTTTATGACGAATTTTTATCAAACACTTTCTTATAGTTAATGTAGAGCTATTTTATACTAACTAACCAGTGTCTATGATACCAATGATGGTGCCTCTTCCAGATTGAGCTCTAGAAAGAACACCAGTTACGATATCCTGCTTTACGTGCAAGAAATCCCAGCTTCTTGTTGTGTGAAGACTAAGAATCTTATTAGGAATCACACGGACAACGCCCGGAAAATCTGCATATCAAAAAAGTGCAGTAGAGAGAATTTTCTTAAAACTTCTTTCAACACTAGAGCAATTTTCAGTCTTTACACCAACAACAAGAATGGATAGTTTAGGAATTAATTTGCATAGAAATTTTCTTACAAATTACACTAATCTTGAAAAGTATTAAACAATGTTGTGCACATAATGTGACTGGTCTTGCTATGGTTAAACTGCGAAATACCTGCGATGAGCTTAGCTTGAGACGGAGTCAAAACTGCAGCAAAACCAGAAAAGCCATGCTTATAGCTATACAGGATGGACTTCATAGCAGCCCTTTTGCTGTTAAGAAAACAAACCAATTCCAAATATGTTAACTTCATGTGAATACAAACAGAAACAAGTTCATTGAAAAGGAACAATAATATAAAGTGAAACCTTCCAAGAATACATGATAGCATGTCATGGTGGGACTCTTCAAGTAGTTGTGAATCATTCTGGTTTTGGCTTCTGTCACCCATATACACAATATGAACCTACAAAAGGAGCACCAACATATATAGATGCAAAATAGAGGAAAGCCCTTTAGCTATTTCAAAATATGAAAAAGAGTGAGAAACAATTTTTACATTGGTTGAGGCAAAGGTGACAACAATGAAGCAAAGAAGTATGAAAGTGAAGGCTAAATTGGAAGCAAAAGCCATGAGGGATCAAAACTAAGAATGAGACCATTCAAAAATATGGCTCATATTTGAGTGATAATAATTTGTTTTAGTAAGTGTGATAGACTGACAGTGTTTATAAAGTGTGAAATGAGACTTTTCCACTAAGTACACGCTCCTCCACCATTTATAGCATTTACTACATGGTGGCCTCAGTTTTTTTTTTTTAACTTTTGGTTCCATTGTACTTCTTATATTGGAAATGGAATTTTCGTGGCTTTGGGTGGATATAAGGAAATTGAAGAGGGAGTTTGAATATTAAAATGAGGTTTTATTATTTTTACATTTTTGCATCTGTTTGTTTGTGGATTAAATGAAGCAAACAAGTCCTATATAAGATGTTGAATGTTGACTTAACTGTTCACAATTGGGACAATGGATGGTGATGTCAACTCTTTTATTTTATGCGAATTCAAATGCAAAATATGATCCTAATGCATGTTTAGTCACTTTTGTTTCACGATTTTCAAAAATTCTTATCGAAATCATTATTGGGTCGACTCACGGACTTGATTGCTCTTAGTAGTCATTCAACCACTTCGTCTCTAAGATAAAACAATTAAGTTTTATATTGTACGATTATTATTTGTATAATAGATAATCGGTTTATAATTACACACTCTGATGGTACAAAGACCAGTCGATTATAATATAAATATCACTCATAATATCAGTATAAAGACTCGCCGATACAATTTGTCAAACAAAAAATATTCAAATAATTTTTCAAAGAGAATTCAATAATGGTCGTTCAACCACTCAAAATAATTTTTGAAAGAAAGTAAAGTTCAAATAATTATCCAAAAAGAATTTAAAAAAATACTTATAATTTCCCAACTCAAACAAGAAGAAATTTAAATAATTCTTTAAAGAGAATTTTAAAAAAGACTCTGAAAATTCAATGAGGATAAAGAAAGGGAGAGAAGTTGACACTTTGACATTTCGAACACGCAAAGTAAAGAGGGTGAAGAAGGAAAAACTCAAAATAAATTATTAGTATGTTTTGAAATGAAACATAGGTTTTCCTTAAGCTATCCAAAAAATGTAATATAAACAACGTGGGACTTAGAATTTTCTCAATTAACACACAATCACACAAAGTTTTCTAACAATGTGGGACCTAAGGGATTTTTCAACGGACGTGATCAAAATACTGGCGGTGAGGATGCTTCTCAATGTTTATAATGCTCTATGATGATCATTTGAGCTCTTAGTAGGTTGAAGTAATAAGTTTGTAATTGATCTATCAGTCTCTGTGTTTATCCTAACTCTCATATCAAATGATTCACATAGAAGGATTTACGATAATATTTTGTTGTTACCTCGAAAGGGGAAATTTCTCTCAAGTCCATTAAGATTCAAGGTGGTGCACTTTTTAGATGTTGAAAAATTAAAAAAAAAAAAAACTCTGATTAACTTTTTAGATAAGTGGTTTATTATTTGCTCAAAAAGGCTGAAATCAATGCAACTAATTGATTAGATGCTCTACGCGTTTCAAATTTCAAGCGAGATAATGAAGAACATGTGAATCTTCATATTTAGCAGCAAATAATTGATTATTCCTCTTGAATAATCAATTATCAAACATGTTTTGAAAAGTTTTGCTTTCAATATTTTCTGGGTCAAATCTTCAAGGAATTTTGGGAGTTTTTGCATGTTCAAACATTCAGAAACAATGTTATAAATAGGTATTCATATTCCCTACTTTTGCATCATTTCTTCTTCTCTTCTTCTTGTATTTTCCTCGTTCTTTTCTTTTTTATCTAGTTTGAATACTATTCTAGGACTCTAAAATGATCATCATGACACCTAAGAGATTAATATTTCCCTATTATGTTTATCCCTCTTATGACTTCTCATCTCAAGAACAAGAATGAAGATTCTTTCAAAAATATGCAAATAGGGTGCTTTTAGGTGTTCATATCTTGGATGCTAAAATCTTTGAAGAATGTGAGTTCTTGAAGACTTATAAAGAGTCAAACTTAAAATCTATTCATTTGTAACCCTTCAAGAGACGTGTATTCATCCTTAATCAAGATGTTCTATTCAAATCTTTATTTCACCGATTTAATTATCTACTTCAGAGTTAGAAGGAACAAGATATATCTACCTTTGAAGGAATTTGATGAAGATTTTAACTACCCTATGGTGGGCCTCGTTTCAAGCCAAATAAACCAAAAAAAGGTGATGGCTACATGTATAAGACTGTTGCCTCCTCTTTTTTATTGGATCCAAATTCATGTGTTTTTTCACTGTTTATTGTTGATTATGTGCGCTCAAATATTTGTCTAATTCACTATGTGAAAAATCATATACTCTTTCTAAGGAAGAGCAACTTCAGTCACTTAACTAGATCTGAGATTGTCGTAGTATGACTATTTACCAACAACATTGAAACAAATTCGGTAAGTGTAGTGATCCAACACACGTTGGAGAGCAAAAGGAAATAAATATGTCTTCCATATGATTATTTGGTTACAGAGATCTTGGAGCGTGTTGGGTATAACTTTGAAGGAAAAGTATTCGTGAAAAATGTAACAAAAAAATGAGAGGCATCATTAGAGTTAATACAGTACAAAATTGTTGATGGAGAGATATTTCAAAAGCCTCCAAAAGGAAATAAAAGGTATGTGGAACAACATAAATCTCATCAACAAGAAGCTCATGTGAATCTAGAAGATTTTAACTATGATATCCTCGAAACACCCTTGGTTGAAGACCTACTAAAGAACATCCTCGACAGACTAAAATGGACTGATAAGAAGATCAAATTCTTGGCCCATCACTTCATCCAAGAGTTAAGGCATCTACTTCTAGGGATATTCACTGATGTTGACGAAGATACTGAATAACAGTCAGACCTATTTTTTTAGTTTCGTTTCAAGTGCATTTTTTGTTCACTACTTTTTCAATTTTGAAATTTGAATTCTTTTTCAATGAAACATTGGTTTCCCTTATTTAGTGAGACATGTTTGATAAATGTGAATTATATGCTTGCATTACTTTCTGGTATCTTTTTTTCCGCCTTTTTGATCGTGTCAAAAGGAGAGAAGTATACTTCAAGGGAGTGGAGTATACTCTTTACTCATGTGCAATGTTTTAAAAACTGGACCGGAGATCAAACCGGCAAGACTTTCGATTCAAGATTTATTTGTTTCAACCAATTAAATCTATGCTTAAACTGCTTATTAAATAAATTAACAATATAAAGCTAAATTTTATAGATAAGTCACCTAATCATATTTTCACAAATTAATAAATAAATATTTTAAAATTTCATCACAAACTTAATATATGAGATCAATGGTAGACATAATTACACAATATAATGATACACTTAAAGAAACTAACTATAATATAGTGTTATAACTTAGAAATTTATGTTGCTCTTTTGTGTTAAATAAGAGTTTCTTTTTTATTTGTTCATTAACCATTTCCTAAATGGTATTGACCAATTTATTTTACACCATTAACAAATTTTATATTAAAGAATGTTATAAAATTTTCTCATGTCTGTGCGTATACTAACTAATATATACACAATATTAATTTAGCCATCTTTTTATACACCATTAATCAACAATGTTTTAAATCTATATTAATTGTGTGTAAAAAGATGCTTAATGAACAAACATGAATAAATATATGAAACCGATTAACAGTAAATAAATTTGGTTAAATGTGTGAAAAATGTTGGTCAATACAATTCAGAACATGGTTAATGACCAATCACGAATAAATATATGAAATCAATTAACAGTAATAAAGATGCTTTATAATTCCTCAATTACAAACAAATTTAAAGATAGTTACGATGAAATAGGAATGTTCTTTAAATTTATTAAAAACATTATACGCACAATTAACACATATATTTTTTAATAAGATTACATTTTTTTTATTCAAATAATCATGTTTTTTGAAAAAAATTCCTCTAATAACCAATTTTTTTCAATATTTTTCAAAGTACCCATGTTTCAAACAAAAAGTAAATTGACAACTGAGAGCACATGTCAGATGAATTAACGTTTGCCTTTAACAACTAAGAGATGTCACCAATTAAATTGGCGACTACATATGGTCTAGCCAATACACTTGATGCTAGTGTTTAATACTTAAAAGGAGGTGATAATTCATTTATCGCCTCAATGTATTTTTTAATTAAAATAATAAATTATATATAAAAACAAATAAAAATATTAATATTTTATTTAAATATGATTACACAGGATAATATTTTTAACACTAATAATGACGACTGATTGGTCATACATGTCACCGGTTCCACACCTCTTAGGTACCCTAATTTATTACGCTCATTGTTGATTCACCCCAGGTGTTTGAGGATTTGTGGTCTCGAAAAAATCACCATCACTAGATTCCCTAATAAGTTCTTGTGTTTCTAAGTATCTTGTGTATGCAGTGACAAACTATTATAACTGAGTTTGTGACCCATGTCGATGTAGTTAGGTTGTGTTGATATGGTTATTGGTGAGCTACATATTCGATTGAATGGCGAGATTGGGGTGAATGATTCTTGGAGAAAGAAAGAATGGTTGTTGTGGTGTTTGGGCGTTTTGGCTATGGTAGGAGGAAATGTTGGTATTATATGTTCCTTGTGTATTTTGGCTATGGTAGGATGATATGTTGGGGGCATATGGATGTTGGGTGTTTTGATAATAAGTATGTTGTTGTTGTTGTTGGTATGGGGTATGCTCTTGGTTTCATGGTTGGGTGCTTGACATGCATTGGTTGTAGATTTTAGTGCTTGTGGTCAGTTATTTTGTTGGGTATGAAGTTGTGAGTAAGTGGTCTGGTAATATTGTAGGGGGTGAAGGTGTGAAGAAAATTCAAGAAAGAGGGGGTTTGAATTGGGTTTACCTTTCTTGTAAAACTTTCGCTTTTAAGCATTATTCGTTGAACAATGCTTCTGATTGTTGCTTCTAATTAGTGCTTCTAATTTGGTTCAGAAAACATAAACT